CAACGTTGTGTGTGTGTAACATTGTGTGTGTGTGCAACATTGCGTGTGTGCAAAATTGTGTGTGTGTGTGACATTGTGTGTGTGTGCAACATTGTGTGTGTGCAACGTTGTGTGTGTGTGTACAACGTTGTGTGTGTGTGCAAGATTGGGTGTGTGTGCAACGTTGTGTGTGTGTGTGTGTACAACGTGTGTGTGTGTGTGCAACGTTGTGTGTGTGTGCAAGATTGGGTGTGTGTGCAACGTTGTGTGTGTGCAACATTGTGTGTATATCATTGTGTGTGTGTGCAACGTTGTGTGTGTGTGCAACATTGTGCGTGTGTGTAACATTGTGGTGTGCAACATTGTGTGAGTGTGTAACGTTGTGTGTGTGTGCAACATTGTGTGTGTGCAACATTGTGTGTGTGTAACGTTGTGTGTGTGTGTGCAACATTGTGTGTGGGTGCAACGTTGTGTGTGTGTGCAACGTTGTTGTGTGTGTGTGTGTGCAGCATTGTGTGTGTGCAACATTGTGTGTGTGTAACGTTGTGTGTGTGTAACGTTGTGTGTGTGTAACGTTGTGTGCGTGTGCAACGTTGCGTGTGTGTGCAACGTTGTGTGTGTGTAACGGTGTGTGTGTGTAACGTTGTGTGTGTGTGCAACGTTGTGTGTGCAACGTTGTGTGTGTGTAACGTTGTGTGTGTGTGTGTGTGCAAGGTTGTGTGTGTACAACGTTGTGTCTGTGTGCAACGTTATGTGTGTGTGCAACGTTGTGTGTGCAACGTTGTGTGTGTGTGTGCAAGGTTTTGTGTGGTGTGGGTGCAACGTTGTGTGTGTGTGCAACGTTGTGTGCGTGTGTGTGCAACGGTGTGTGTGTGCAACGTTGTGTGTGTGTGCGTGTGAGCAACGTTGTGTGTGTGTGTGTGCAAGACTGTGTGTGTGTAACGTTGTGTGTGTGTGCAACGTTGTGTGTGTGTGTGTGTGCAACGTTGTGTGTGTGTGGGCAACGTTGTATGTGTGTGTGTGTGCAACGTTGTGTGTGTGTGTAACGTTGTGTGTGTGTGCAACGTTGTGTGTGTGTGCAACGTTGTGTGTGTGTGCAACGTTTTGTGTGTGTGCAACGTTGTGTGTGTGTACAACGTTGTGTGTGTATGTGCAACGTTGTGTGTGTGTGTAACGTTGTGTGTGTGTGCAACGTTGTGTGTGTGTGTGCAACGTTTTGTGTGTGTGCAACGTTGTGTGTGTGTGTACAACGTTGTGTGTGTGTGGGCAACGTTGTGTGTGTGTGCAAGGCTGTGTGTGTGTGTGCAACGTTGCGACGGAGCGGTGGCGCAGTGGTTAGCGCACCGCGTTGCGAGCCCTCCGTTTGCCTCCTGAGTTCGATTTGCGTCAGCGGCGAACTGTTTATCAATCAATAAACAAGCTATTCAAGTAGCCTGCGTTCTCGATTTCCGCGTGAGAGTAATGATTTTAATTTGTTATTCATTCATTATTTTTGCCTGCCAGTCCTAATGGCTTTCTTGACGAATGTTATCCGCTGACATTTGTTTAACCACTCAAATTCTGGGCCGGTTTCGACCTCCTGGGTCTCATCAGCAGTCGGCCGTGCGGAACAAATACTTTTGGTTCGGCAGATGTCATTGGCACGAGCACTCCAGCTCTACAATGGGACCCTGTTCGACAGAGAAATGTATATATTGCAGGAAGAAAAGCATTTTATATATATTCTTGATTAGCACAAACAGTATTCATCAGAAACACACATCTGTGGCTCGAACCCAGATGTTCATAGGTTGCTGTAACAATGTTCAAATACACACATTATCCTTTGGAGACAACCAGACCCAGTTTCTAAACCAAAATTTCCGAGGTTGCTGGCTCAATGTTTAAACACATACATTATCCTTTGGAGACATGCAGACCCAAGGCTTGAAACCAGCTGTTCAAAGTTTTGCTGGTTCAGTGGCCTTACACAGAGACACCCAGACGCAGAATTCGAACTCAATTCTTCATAGTTGTCTGGTTCAGTGGCCTTACACAGAGACACCCAGACCCAGGGTTCGAACCCAGTTCATCATAGATGTCTGGTTCAGTGGCCTTACACAGAGACACCCAGACCCAGGGTTCGAACCCAGTTCATCATAGATGTCTGGTTCAGTGGCCTTACACAGAGACACCCAGACCCAGGGTTCGAACCCAGTTCATCATAGATGTCTGGTTCAGTGGCCTTACACAGAGACACCCAGACCCAGGGTTCGAACCCAGTTCATCATAGATGTCTGGTTCAGTGGCCTTACACAGAGACACCCAGACCCAGGGTTCGAACCCAGTTCTTCAGGGTTTGGTCGATCAGTGGTCTACCATGGGCTCAAGTGCATTTAAACGAAACACGTGGCCGACGTTGAGACTGTGGCAATGCCGAAGTCGATCGATATAGACGCGTCACTCGATTCTACGAAAGTTACGACCGGTGATAAAAAAAGGAGAGAGAAAAGTAAAAATCGCCAAGGGCCGTAAGTCATCGGAGACACTGCGGTGGCATCATTCGTCTCTGTCCGAACGCAGCAGGCTCCCTCGTTGGCGAGGGAGGGGAATTTCATTCCAAGCTGCAATATAAATGTGTTACGGGTTACATCTCGCCCCCGTGCGAGATGTCAACTACCTCGCCTGGTATGCAGGAGGTTAACGGATCGTTCCCGACCCCGACGCCTGCTGCTGTATATTTGATAATGAATTGATATTGCGTTATTGACGCCAACAGCAATATGTTCAGTGTCCATGTCTCTCTCTCTCTCGGCGTGGTCGCGTGGATTTGTCTCCGGCTCCTCCGGTTTTCCCCTCCACATTTCGAATCAACGCCACGCGTGTACAGTATTTGGCCGCTGTTAAAGTCCACATGATGAGCCACTTCAATGAGCTATCATTTGTGGCCAGGTCGCTTCTGAGAAACAAGTGAATAGCTCAGTGGGCTTCATCTGGGCTTCACGTGGTAAGAGGTAGTTGGTTTAGGAGTGAGTATTACGACTTAAAGAAGAATAATAATAATAATCTCAAACGCAACCCGAGTTAAGCCCAAATCCGTGCCTTCCACCTGAGCGGCACCGATGTGTCACCTGGGGAGACCAGAGCCTCGAACACCAGAATCACCCTGCTGTGCCTCGGGGGGTAACACCGGATCGGACACTCGGACACAAAAAAAGCTCAACTTAAAAGGCCAAGGCCAAGGTCGACGCACGCGGAACGGCGGTCCACGAAAGATTGCAAAACCCAAAGCGGCGAGGCACCATCAACACACTCGGCGCGCCGCCGCCACCGCCCCAGCGCTTTGTGTCTCCGTGGGCGAATCCGCGCGCTTCCCCTTGGGGACACTCGACCCGCAGTGAGCATGGCGACGCCGCCAAGAAATGGCACGTGTCGAATTGACTAACACTGCCCATAGACTCAACACTGCCCATAGACTCAACACTGCCCATAGACTCAACACTGCCCATAGACTCAACACTGCCCATAGACTCAACACTGCCCATAGACTCAACACTGCCCATAGACTCAACACTGCCCATAGACTCAACACTGCCCATAGACTCAACAATGCCCATAGACTCAACATTGCCCATAGACTCACCACTACCCATAGACTCAACACTGCCCATAGACTCAACACTGCCCATAGACTCAACACTACCCATAGACTCAGCACTGCCCATAGACTAACACCACCCATAGACTCAACACTGCCCATAGACTCAACACTGCCCATAGACTCAACACTGCACATAGACTCAACACTACCTATAGACTCAACACTGCCCATAGACTCAACACTACCCATAGACTCACCACTACCCATAGACTCAACACTGCCCATAGACTCAACACTGCCCATAGACTCAACACTACCCATAGACTCAGCACTGCCCATAGACTAACACCACCCATAGACTCAACACTGCCCATAGACTCAACACTGCCCATAGACTCAACACTGCACGTAGACTCAACACTACCTATAGACTCAACACTGCCCATAGACTCAACACTACCCATAGACTCAACACTGCCCATAGACTCACCACTGCCCATAGACCACCGATCAGTACGGTTGGCTACGTACGGTTCGAAAGAAGTCCAACGCGCGTGCGTCTGGCTCAGCTGGGAGCTCACCTCCCCCCCCTCGTACGCTTAGAAACCTCGAAGCCATTCAAATAGTGCCCCAGATTCATATACATAGATTATTAATATACGTATAAATGAAAGTATTTTCTCTGGTAAACGTCAATGACATTTACCAATATTTGGAGTGCCTGCAACGGTGGCGGTGGTGGTGATAATAAAAAAATATGAAAGCAACACAAAACGGCCACGTGCATATTTCGTCGTGAAGATTTGGCCAGCGCCCGCGCTTGGCCGTCGCCGGGCTGAGCGTTCGATTTATGGAGGAGAGGGAGGGAGGGAGGGATACATCGGGACATAAATCCGTGGTTTGCTCCGCACGTGTGTCAAAGCATGGCAGAGGAAATTAGTTTAGCGGTGACGGAGAGAAGAGATGTATATTTATTTATATAGATTTTTATATAATCACATATATATACAAAAAAAGAAAATCAGGCGCTATGCTTCGACGGCCGTTTGTAATTAAAAGCTAGAATGTTAAACGTTGCATTGTCACCGGGCAAGGCCCCACTGGGCTGCTACGCGGCTCTACTTCAGAAGCGAGCCTGGCCGTCATGAACGATGAGCTCCAACGAAGTGGGCTCATCGTCATCACCATCGCCGCCGCGTGGAAATTCAATAGAGGCGGACAAATGCTCTAAACGTGTGGTGACGTTGATTCTAAATGCGGAGGGTGAAAAACCGGAGGACCCAGAGAAAAATCCAAGCAGCAACCACGGGGGGAGAGAGACACGCGAATTACAAATATACAGCAGCAGCAGCAGGCATCAGGGTCAGGATCGAACCCACGACCTCCTGCATACCAGGCGAGGTAGTTAACATCTCATAGCCACCGCGGTGCCCCAAATTACCTTGGGGCCTTCTTGTCCCGGAGGACCCTTTGGGCCCATGGGTCCTGGATAGCCCTGAAACATAAAAGCACAGAGACGTGATTAGAGGCCGACCGAAACTGAATTGCTGGTTTCGGCCGCAATCGAAACAGACAGAAAGTTAAGAATTGACTTTCAGCCGCAACCGAAAGTAAACCGAAAGTTAAGAATTGACTTTCAGCCGCAACCGAAAGTAAACCGAAAGTTAAGAATTGACTTTCAGCCGCAGCCGAAACCAAACCGAAAGTTAAGAATTGACTTTCAGCCGCAACCGAAACAGACCGAAAGTTAAGAATTGACTTTCAGCCACAACCGAAAGTAAACCGAAAGTTAAGAATTGACTTTCAGCCGCAGCCGAAACCAAACCGAAAGTTAAGAATTGACTTTCAGCCGCAACCGAAAGTAAACCGAAAGTTAAGAATTGACTTTCAGCCGCAACCGAAAGTAAACCGAAAGTTAAGAATTGACTTTCAGCCACAACCGAAACCAGACCGAAAGTTAAGAATTGACTTTCAGCCGCAGCCGAAACCAAACCGAAAGTTAAGAATTGACTTTCAGCCGCAACCGAAAGTAAACCGAAAGTTAAGAATTGACTTTCAGCCGCAACCAAAACCAGACCGAAAGTAAAGAATTGACTTTCAGCGGCAACCGAAACAGACCGAAAGTTAAGAATTGACTTTCAGCCGCAACCGAAAGTAAACCGAAAGTTAAGAATTGACTTTCAGCCGCAACCGAAAGTAAACCGAAAGTTAAGAATTGACTTTCAGCCACAACCGAAACCAAACCGAAAGTTAAGAATTGACTTTCAGCCACAACCGAAACCAGACCGAAAGTTAAGAATTGACTTTCAGCCGCAGCCGAAACCAAACCGAAAGTTAAGAATTGACTTTCAGCCGCAACCAAAACCAGACCGAAAGTCATTTTTTTGGCTTCGGCCGAGACAGAAACGATGCTGAAAGAGGCCATTTGCCAACTTTCGGCAAACCGAAATTCGGTTTCGGTTTCTATTGTCAGACTTCGAATCTCGGTATCAACACGCATGTCGAGTGACGCGAACACAACACATCAACACGCATGTAGACTGAAGCCAACGCAACACGTAAGCCAAGGTGGGCAGGCGGCTGGGAACAGACAACAGAGGCACTTTGTTGTCGTCCCGCCAAAGAGACTCCACCCACGGATGGAGATGCAGGCTGCCGTCTGCTGACCGGTCGTATATACATTAGCAGACCACGGTTGTGGCTGTAACCTCGCTCCCAAGCTGCTGCTGCTGCTGCTGAGGTGTGTGTGTACGTGTGTGTGTGTACGTGTGTTTGTGTGTACGTGTGTGTGTGTGTACGTGTGTGTGTATGTGTACGTGTGTGTGTTTGTGTGTACGTGTGTTTGTGTGTACGTGTTTGTGTGTATGTATGTGTGTACGTGTGTTTGTGTGTACGTGTGTGTGTATGTGTGTGTGTGTACGTGTGTGTGTGTGTACGTGTGTTTGTGTGTACGTGTGTTTGTGTTTGCAGCCTATCGCATACAATTGCCTAGCGCCGTGACTGACCGGCCGATAGGCAGAGTGATAGACGTAGCACTAGCATTACATTCTAAAAAATAGATCTTCGGTTGACGAATGACGACCCCACCGGGCAGGGGTCAGGGCGGGGGCCTTCCGACACCCTCGGCGGACGTTCGTCCCATGACTTCTTCCGAAACGCCGGCTCCGGTAGCGACGGGCCAGGCGCGTCAACCGTGGCAGCGTTGGAACGCGAGCGCACGCTTCGAACGAACGGCAATCACGTCGGCGAGTGACTCGGTCGGGACTCGCGCTACGGCGACGCTCAATTTGCCCGCCGCCGGCAGACTGAAATGCCGGCTCGCTGAAGAGTTGCCGAGCCACCTTACGGACAGCTGCCACTGGGGGTGCCCCTTCAAGTGGCGCCACGATGGCCAGGAGATGTTAACTACCTCGCGCGGCATGCAGGAGGTTTGGTTCGTTTAACACGTAGGCTTTCGCGACCAACATTATTCATAATAAAGGTTTTTGGGTTAGATCGCGTTATTTATAAATGTGTCGTAACCCTCCACCACCCGACACGGCCAATCAGCCAAAAAAGTGTCGAGACAAATAGTTCACAACTTTAGCCCACCGGTGTGTTGAAGAGCACTCAAACTGTAAATGTTGTAGATTCACTCTTCAACACACCGGTGGGCTAAAGTAGTGAATTATTTGTCTTTTGTCAACGTGACACTTTTTTTTGCTGATTGGCCGTGTCGGGTGGTGGAGGGTTCAGACACATTTATAAATAACGCGATCTAACCCCAACAACAACCTTTATTATGAGGCTTGGTTCAGTGATTGCTTTGCAGGCGTGAAGTTGCTTGTCGCGTGGCGCAGCGCCACCGCGGCTTGCCAGCGTGAGGGAGGTGCAGCTCCATCGACACGAATCACCGTCGCCATCAAACATCGTCGTCGTCGCTTCTGCTCCGACATTCACGCCGCGAGCGTAGTTCGCGGTCCGAGCCCCGGGTGCGAGGGGTTGACGGGACACTCACCTTCTTTCCTGGGGGGCCCCTGGGGGCGTCCACGCCCGGGTCGCCGCTGAGTCCCTGGGGCGAAAGAGAGCCGGGTTAGCCAACGACACCGCGGGCGGACAGCACGGTGGCGCGGGTCATCAACGGCGTCGTCGGCCTGCGGCGTCGTTCTCGCGGGGAGGAGGCCGGCGGCGGCGATGAACCAGTGGACGGCTCCCACCGCCCCGTAATTTTGTGGCTCTCCAACGTGGCCAAATTTCTTGTTAAGTTGAAAGACGTCCCATCGGTCGCACGTCCTTCTGGCGAGTGCATCTCCTTAGCATCAATAAGTTCGATGCGCGGCAAGTATATTGACACTCGTTAACTGGTCGGAAAAAAAACACTTGAATATATAGAGGACAGCAGAGCTTGGTGCCGGTTTATCACGTGGCTGCTGGCTTCCCGTTTGTCTTTGGTTCTTGAGTCGTCTCTTTACGAGCGTGAGCGAATAAACGGTGTTCCTGCGTTATTCACGAACTCGCTACACTGTCCACAGACTCAACAGTGTCCACAGACTCAACACTGCCCATATACTCAACACTGCCCATAGACTCAACACTGTCCATAGACTCAACACTGCCCATAGACTCAACACTACACCATAGACTCAACACTACCCATAGACTCAACACTGCCCACAGACTCAACACTGCCCATGGACTCAACACTGCCCATAGACTCAACACTGCCCATGGACTCAACACTGTCCACAGACTCAACACTGCCCATAAACTCAACACTACCCATAGACTCAACACTGCCCATAAACTCAACACTACCCATAGACTCAACACTGCCCGTAGACTCAACACTGCCCATAGACTCAACACTGCCCATGGACTCAACACTGCCCATAGACTCAACACTGCCCATAGACTCAACACTGCCCATAGACTCAACACTGCCCATAGACTCAACACTGCCCAAGGACTCAACACTGTCCACAGACTCAACACTGCCCATAGACTCAACACTACCCATAGACTCAACACTGCCCACAGACTCAACACTGCCCATAGACTCAACACTGCCCATAGACTCAACACTGCCCATGGACGCAACACTACCCACGGACTCAACACTGCCCACAGACTCAACACTGCCCATGGACTCAACACTGTCCACAGACTCAACACTGCCCATAGACTCAACACTGCCCATAGACTCAACACTGCCCATAGACTCAACACTGCCCATAGACTCAACACTGCCCATGGACTCAACACTGCCCAAAGACTCAACACTGCCCATGGACTCAACACTGCCCATAGACTCAACACTGCCCATGGACTCAACACTGTCCACAGACTCAACACTGCCCATAAACTCAACACTACCCATAGACTCAACACTGCCCATAGACTCAACACTGCCCATAGACTCAACACTACCCATAGACTCAACACTGCCCATAGACTCAACACTGCCCATAGACTCAACACTGCCCATAGACTCAACACTGCCCATGGACTCAACACTGCCCAAAGACTCAACACTGCCCATGGACTCAACACTGCCCATAGACTCAACACTGCCCATGGACTCAACACTGTCCACAGACTCAACACTGCCCATAAACTCAACACTACCCATAGACTCAACACTGCCCATAGACTCAACACTGCCCATAGACTCAACACTGCCCATAGACTCAACACTGCCCATGGACGCAACACTACCCATGGACTCAACACTGCCTATAGACTCAACACTGCCCATGGAATCAACACTGTCCACAGACTCAACACTGCCCATAGACTCAACACTACCCATAGACTCAACACTGCCCATAGACTCAACACTGCCCATAGCCTCAACACTGCCCATAGACTCAACACTGCCCATAGACTCAACACTGCCCACAGACTCAACACTACCCATAGACTCAACACTGCCCACAGACTCAACACTGCCCATGGACTCAACACTGCCCATAGACTCAACACTGCCCATGGACTCAACACTGTCCACAGACTCAACACTGCCCATAGACTCAACACTACCCATAGACTCAACACTGCCCATAGACTCAACACTGCCCATAGACTCAACACTGCCCATAGACTCAACACTGACCATGGACGCAACACTACCCATGGACTCAACACTGCCCATAGACTCAACACTGCCCATGGACTCAACACTGTCCACAGACTCAACACTGCCCATAGACTCAACACTACGCATAGACTCAACACTGCCCATAGACTCAACACTGCCCATGGACTCAACACTGCCCAAAGACTCAACACTGCCCATAGACTCAACACTGCCCATCGACTCAACACTGCCCATAGACTCAACACTACCCATAGACTCAACACTGCTCATAGACTCAACACTGCCCATAGACTCAACTCTACCCATAGACTCAACACTACCCATAGACTCAACACTGCCCATAGACTCAACACTGCCCATAGACTCAACACTGCCCATAGACTCAACACTGCCCATGACTCAACACTGCCCATAGACTCAACACTGCCCATAGACTCAACACTGCCCATAGACTCATCACTGCCCATAGAATCAACACTACCCATAGACTCAACACTGCCCATAGACTCAACACTGCCCATAGACTCAACACTGCCCATAGACTCAACACTACCCATAGACTCAACACTACCCATAGAATCAACACTGCCCATAGACTCAACACTGCCCATAGACTCAACACTGCCATAGACTCAACACTACCCATAGACTCAACACTGCCCATGGACTCAACACTGCCCATAGACTCAACACTGCCCATAGACTCAACACTGCCCATAGACTCAACACTGCCCATAGACTCAACACTACCCAAAGACTCAACACTGCCCATAGACTCAACACTGCCCATAGACTCAACACTACCCATAGACTCAACACTACCCATAGACTCAACACTGTCCATAGACTCGACACTACCCATAGACTCAACACTGTCCATAGACTCAACACTGCCCATAGACTCAACACTGCCCATAGACTCAACACTACGCATAGACTCAACACTGCCCATAGACTCAACACTGCCCATAGACTCAACACTGCCCATAGACTCAAACTGCCCATGGACTCAACACTGCCAATAGACTCAACACTACCCATAGACTCGACACTACCCATAGACTGTACACTGCCCATAGACTCAACACTGTCCACAGACTCAACACTACCCATAGACTCGACACTACCCATAGACTCAACACTACCCATAGACTCAACACTGCCCATAGACTCAACACTACCCGTAGACTCAACACTGCCCATTGACTCAACACTGCCCATATACTCAACACTGCCCATAGACTCAACACTACGCATAGACTCGATACTACCCATAGACTCAACACTGCCCATAGACTCAACACTGCCCATAGACTCAACACTGCCCATAGACTCAACACTACCCATAGACTCAACACTGCCCATAGACTCAACACTACCCGTAGACTCAACACTGCCCATAGACTGAACACTGCCCATAGACTCAACACTGCCCATAGACTCAACACTACCCATAGACTCAACACTGCCCATAGACTCAACACTGCCCATATACTCAACACTGCCCATAGACTCAACACTACGCATAGACTCAACACTGCCCATAGACTCAACACTGCCCATAGACTAACACTGCCCATAGACTCAACACTGCCCATAGACTCAACACTGCCCATAGACTCAACACTGACCATAGACTCAAACTGCCCATAGACTCAACACTGCCCATATACTCAACATGCCCGTAGATTCAACACTACGCATAGACTCAACACTGCCCATAGACTCAACACTGCCCATAGACTCAACACTGCCCATAGACTCAACACTGCCCATAGACTCAACACTGCCCATAGACTCAACACTACCGATAGACTCGACACTACCCAGAGACTCAACATTGCCCATAGACTCAACACGGTCCATAGACTCAACACTACCCATAGACTCAACACTACCCATAGACTCAACATGCCCATAGACTCAACACTGCCCATAGACTCAACACTGTCCATAGACTCGACGCTACCCATAGACTCAACACTGCCCATAGACTCAACACTGCCCATAGACTCAACACTGCCATAGACTCGACACTACCCATAGACTCAACACTGCCCATAGACTCAACACTACCCGTAGACTCAACACTGCCCATAGACTAACCCTCCATAGACTCAACACTGCCCATAGACTCAACACTACCCATAGACTCAACACTGCCCATAGACTCAACACTGCCCATATACTCAACACTGCCCATAGACTCAACACTACGCATAGACTCAACACTGCCCATAGACTCAACACTGCCCATAGACTCAACACTGCCCATAGACTCAACATGCCCATGGACTCAACACTGCCATAGACTCAACACTACCCATAGACTCGACACTACCCATAGACTACACTGCCCATAGACTCAACACTGTCCACAGACTCAACACTACCCATAGACTCGACACTACCCATAGACTCAACACTACCCATAGACTCAACACTGCCCATAGACTAAACACTACCCGTAGACTCAACACTGCCCATTGACTCAACACTGCCCATATACTCAACACTGCCCATAGACTCAACACTACGCATAGACTCAACACTGCCCATAGACTCAACACTGCCCATAGACTAACACTGCCCATAGACTCAACACTGCCCATAGACTCAACACTGCCCATAGACTCAACACTGCCCATAGACTCAACACTGACCATAGACTCAACACTGCCCATAGACTAACACTGCCCATAGACTCAACACTGCCCATAGACTCAACACTGCCAATAGACTCAACACTACCCATAGACTCGACACTACCCATAGACTCAACACTGCCCGTAGACTCAACACTGCCCATTGACTCAACACTGCCCATATACTCAACACTGCCATAGACTCAACACTACGCATAGACTCAACACTGCCCATAGACTCAACACTGCCCATAGACTAACACTGCCCATAGACTCAACACTGCCCATAGACTCAACACTGCCCATAGACTCAACACTGCCCATAGACTC